TGTGACTGACAATTGCCAATTAGTGTAACCAAAATTGATTGATCTCACTATAAAGTTACTCAGCTGTTTCCAGAAACATTTTAAAAATTCAACTGTAAAACCATCACAACCAGGACTTGTCCCACTTTTCATATTATTTAATGTTTGTGATGCTTCTTTAAGAGTTATAATGCCCTCTAAACTATCAGATTCTATATTATTCAGTCTAGGAACATGAAACATGTAAAAAGTTGTCTAAATTAACATCATCTATTATCATCATTGGTATATATAAAGACTCAAAAAATAATTTAACTTCTTTAAGTATCTCATTTTTGAAGTATAATTTCTGTTTTCAAGATTAAAACAAGAGATCCCAGAGGGATCTTGGCGCCCACCTTTGTACCATCTTCATTAGTTCTTTGTCAGTTCGATCTTTTCTCTTCTTTCCTCTAATCTGTTTGATCGAGTCATGTTAACAGTAAATGCACCTTGAGGTAACTTTTGATCTAAACTTAATACTGATGTGTATGAAAGCCAACCTTCAAAGTGAGTTTGTCATTTCACATATTTACTAGTACAGTACTTAATGTGAAAGAAATAGAATCGATCATTGCAATATGAGAAAGATCTGTTTAGTTCTTCTTTTAATCCATTTTGTTTTTATGATCAGTCTCAAAATATAACATGCACAACGAGAGATCAAGGGGAACCTACATATAAAATTTGAGAAAGATCCCTCTGGTACTTCTTGAGAAATACTGATAACAAGAATTGTTGAAGGACGGATGATGGACGTCAGACAACGGACGGCGGACGACGGACCACAGACGCAGGGCGATTTGAATAGCCCACCATCAGATTTGTTTTATTTACACTAGGGATTTAAGGTAACTTCCTTTCATAAGGTGCCACCCTCTCTATCCCCCATATTTAAGAAACGATTGTCCTCCTTCTCCCCCTTCTGATATTTCAGACCATATTTGGTTGCAATATCCATTTATGCATAAAGGACGAATAGCATTTTAAAGCAAATTTATAACTTAGTTCCAATTTCGAGGCCCCGAAATATCCCCACCAATTTTTAGCTCAATGGCACCAGTGGAACTGGAGAAGAAGTTTAAAAAGTGTTTTTCAAGATGGCGGCCATCTTGGATTTAGCACCTACCCGAAAAATAACAACACTTGGTCAGGACCATTTCAGGATCATTTCAGGCAAGTTTCAGATCAGTCCCATTGGTGGAACTATAAAAATGTTCCACTCCAATATTCGAATATAAGGTTATCTGGTTATTGAACCATTGATTGTTTGAAAATGTTTCAATCATTTGACCCCAGTGTTATTGAAAATGGCTCAACGTCATTTAATCAAACAAAAAGTTGGTAGCCATTAATCCCAACAAGATACTGGCCATTTATCATCATCCTAGGCTTCTTGACTATTCAGAAGAAACATATAAATTCTTTTTTAGAACATTTGGGTTTAATGAAAAATAAATAGCCCTTCATTCTAGCATGCTACTGACCAAAGTCATTCATAATCACTCTAGCAAACTAAAGAGACCTTGTATGTATGCTACTGGCATAATATCATCACCCTAGGCCATTCTGTTTTTCAGATCAAGTCAATTGCAGGTTTTGACATATCTTAATCCTATGACCTTGATAGTTTTCTTTTGCAAACTTTGTACGGCTACATCAAGGAAGCTACCAGTGTAATATGACTCGAGTCATTTTTTTTTTTAACATATTTGACCTCTGTGACCTTGAATATAGTTCAAGGTAATTTTATTTGCAAATTTTTCTGGGCCCATTCCAAGGAAGCTTACAAGCTTATTATCATTACTTAAGGCCTTCCAGTTCTTCAGATGAAGTTGTTTAAAATATTCGACACATGACCTTAAAGTAGATTGTGCAAAATTGACAGGACTAAATCCTATGAAGCTACCAGCAAAATATCATGAGTCCAACCTTTCCCATTCTTTGGAAGAAGTTGTTAGAAAGAACAAGAGGCCCATGGGCCTTTACGGTCACCTGATATATTTATACAGAGAGTTGATTTTGTTTTTAACATGAACAGAAATATTATTCAAAGTGACAAAAAACAATAAAACCACCTTACTCAATATCTAGCATACAGATTTCAGACTAAAAAGGATTTGAAACTAGCACCTCTGATTCTTAACAAGGAAAATGAAGAAATTTTAGCACACTGACTCCTTTGAGCCCCACCCTACAGCCCTTGGGGGTAGGGCTGGCTCAAAATTTTCAAAGTATCAAACTGTCAATTCAAGGTTATAATTCCAATCAAGTTATTAACATGTAATATT